CCTGCTTATTGAAAGGAACACTGCATAAAGTTTATCATCTCCAGATTTTAAATTACTAAGGGCACTTTCAATTAATAGCATTTAGGAAAGAAATATGTACACATGGTAAATGTTCTGGTATTAATGGAATGTCCTCTCTTGGCTGTAAGAATTAGGAACTGCTAAATAATTAAACTAAGCTTGTAAGTTTGGTCAAATGAGACTACATACTCTTCCCATATCTCACCTGTGATTTCATCCTATTTCTCTCCTAATTGTAAAGGTAGGGTACCGTTAAAGTATGTGCTTTTCCCTTCTGAACTTAATTTTTACTGCTGTTTTGTTCTGGTTATCATTAGAAAGGATTGTGCAGTGCCTTTAACTTTCTCCAATGCATCATTACAGAGATATCCAGCATCTCTGCATTAACTGTGGAATCTGTAGATTTTCTCTGAAGTTTTCAGGAACATTCACCAGAAATAAAGCAGCTTGGGCAGTCAGGTAGGTTCTCTCACTCTGTGCTATTGTGGCAACCCTCTCACACCTTGTACATCTGATTAGAAAAGATGGAGAAATCCTGCGGTTATGCTCTTCAACAAGAGCAAGTGTCGAGTGCTGCACCTGGGGAGGTCAAACCCCATGCACCAATACAGGCTGGGGGATGACCTGCTAGATAGCAGCTCTGCTGAGAGGGACCTGGGAGTCCTGGTGGACAATAAGCTGACCATGAGCCAGCAATGTGCCCTTGTTGCCAAGAAGGCCAATGGTATCCTGGGGTGTATTAAGAGGAGTGTGGCCAGCAGGTCGAGGGAGGTTCTCCTCCCCCTCTACTCTGCCCTGGTGAGACCCCACCTGGAGTACTGTGTCCAGTTCTGGGCTCCCCAGTTCAAGAAAGACGAGGAACTCCTAGAAAGAGTCCAGAGGAGAGCTACTAGAATGATAAAGGGACTGGAGCATCTCCCCTACGAGGAAAGGCTGAGAGAGTTGGGCTTGTTCAGCCTGAAGAAGAGAAGACTGAGAGGGGATCTCATCAACGCATACAAATATCTTAAGGGCGGAAGTCAAGAGGACGGAAGCAGTCTGTTTGCAGTGGTGTCCAGCGACAGGACTAGGGGCAATGGATGCAAACTGAAACACGAGAGGTTTCAGTTGAATATGAGGAAGAACTTCTTCATTCTGAGGGTGGCAGAGCACTGGAACAGGCTGCCCAGGGAGGTTGTGGAGTCTCCTTCTCTGGAGATATTCAAAGCCCGCCTGGATGAAGTCCTGTGTAGCATGCTCTAGGTGAGCCTGCTTTAGCAGGGGGGTTGGACTAGATGATCTCCTGAGGTCCCTTCCAACCCTTACGATTCTGTGATTCTGTGATTCTGTGATGTGCATTAGCCAACGACAAATTACGTCCTCCATCACTGGCCAGTGCAGGATCCACTACATCCATGTCATTCTTTACACATGCTTGTCTCTTCTTTCTCAGAGGTCTCCAGCCTTCCCAGAGAAGCTGTTCCAGAGATCTGGTGTTCTTTACCATCAGGAAGCTTTTATAGTGTTTGCCTGGTTTGTTGGACTCCAAATTTATGATGAATACACTTAAACAATAGACAGAATGCAAGTGGTGATACTTATTTAAGATATGCTAAGGAGTACCCACTTTAAGCTGTTCTATATTGTAAAGTAGCTATTTTAGGGTAGTTGTCAAACTATAAGGCACTGTTTCATTTCACACAGCCACATTCACCTCCAGTTTTACAGACCTCTTAAAATACTTAATTGCTTCTCATGGAAAAATACCTCCAAATAAGGATTGGTGAAGAGTTATTACTGTCTGAGATTGTTTGGTTCTTCCTTTGTCTTGGTATCCTTTTTCATTGCTTCATTTGGAAATTAGCACAAAAATTGTTTTCTTATCTCTTGATGATACCATTATACCTTTTCAAAACAGATTGTGTATTTTTTTTCATTTAGACACTACTTAACTATGCTACTCCTCCAGGTTGCAACCACAGAGCAGTGAGGCAGCCATTCAGTTACATTCTTACCTCTGACCACTCACATAAGTCTTAGCATAGTGGAAAATAATGCTGCTAATTATTAATGCTGCTCCTCCTGCTAACAGAGGAGCTACAGTCTATTCATTAAATCCATCCATCTTTTTTTCCAGTCCTGTGGAAGGACAATTAGCTGGAATCAAGGTCTTTTTAATAGGTATTGTCCCATATCTAATCCTTAATTCAGCAGAAAATGAAAAAGATACTTTTCCGGTAATCAGACTCAATTTTCTAAATTCCCTGAAATTATAGTTGAAGCTGGTAATGAGAAATCACACAGGACTGACAGAAAATCTAAATGCAATTGTACTTATACGTTGGTACCTCCCTAATATTTTCGTAGAGCTGATTCTTATTTTCATCACCCTGAGATGGTCCTGAAATAGATCTACACATCGATCCTCTAATCCTTAGGTATCTCAAAGTTATGCACTTCTCTTTAAGAGTTAGAAGGTCATTGTCCAGTTCTTAACTTGTCTTAAATTTCAAACCTTAAAATTCTTCTCTGTCAGCCATTTCATGCACAGGAAGAATATAAAATACTTAAAGATTAATATCTCTCCAGTGCTAGAGAATAAAAGCACTTATGCAATGGCATTTTAATAGTTCCTATTCTATGCCATAAGCATAAAAGAGCATTTTTAGATGTCATCTTATTTAAATTCTTTCAAATCTTTTGTCGTGTTTTCTTGGACACAAGTTTCACTTGCATAGCTCAGTAAAAAAGTAATCTGATTTCTTTTCATGAAAGTGCTTGTGCCACATGCACATCACTCCTATGGGACATAGCTTCTTTTCAAACACCTTTAATGAATAGTAAAAGACTTAAGCACATGCTTATCATTAAGTATGAACATAAATATTTTGGTTAGATGAAACTCAAAGCTCCTGGCAGGATTTCAGCTCATTAGCAATTTTCTCTAATATTTTAGAAAGATAATATATAGTTTTTACCTTGTATAACATTAACACATAAACTCCAAGGCAATTAAAATAGCAATTTTTAATGGCTTAGTTACAATTGTAGGCAAGCCTTTCTGTTTGCTGAATACTCAACAAATAAACCTATGCTTATTTACAGCCTAAAAATCTACTTAGTAATATAGTTCAGCATGATTGTAATTACATATTATTAAAATCAGGTTAAACTTTAGCTGAGCCAAATTCCTTGGATGAAGATACTACGATAAATACTGAATTAGAATATAGAATAACTCTATCGCTATCTGATAAACTAAATTAATTTTCAGGGAAAAAAACCCCAAGCTTCCCTGTTCGTTCTGATACTAATAACTGCTCACACACATGTGTGAATCCCAGACCAGCGTCCTTAAATGACTTAGGCTTGTCTTTGATCAGTTTTCTTTGAATCAATTATTTCTTATTCAGGTTAGTATCTTAAAGGGCTTTTATCACTGTTGTTACAGATATCACAAGTGTTACAGGTAAAAATAGAGTGTTATCTAAGGAGTTACTATCTAGAAACAGGAAATGTGAAGTTTTGCACTTTTCTTTTGTTTCTCTCTTCAACCTGATTAGTATCAGATGTGACCAATAAGAATCATATCCAATTAGATATTCTTATATGCACATATTGGTAACAATAATTAAATACATCTGTTTATCTGCTAACAAAATGAGGTAACACATTTTTTTTTCTGAGATGTATCTTTGAATGAATGTGAATTAAGAGAATGGAATTCTTTAAGACATAAGTGCAAATAATTAAAATTATTAGAGTATACAATCAGTGATTTAAGATCAGTTTAACAAACATCTCTAAAAGTTATCACTGAGGAGACATCATTAAATAACATCTACTGGAAAGCTGGAGGGTCTGGTTGTAGCCTTAATGCCACTTAAGGAATGTGCAATATACCTGTACCCCTTTAGAAAGCAGTGACTCTGAAAAGATACATAACATTTCAGGTAGATAATCAGCTGACAGTGACCTCCCAGTAGGACTCTGTGGAGGAATATCCTTGCATCTGTAAACAAGACACAGGGGCAGAAGAGCAGGAATCTGATTTTAAACCTGGATAAAGGGGTTTTAAGGAGTCCAGCTTTAAAACATACCAGTCACAAGAAAAAGAATGAGATATCTTATTCCAGGATGGAGATTTCTTACAGCAGGAGACTCACATGCATTTCGGGTTTTTTTGAAAAAGAATATCAGGGGAGCATCCTATATAATGTTAAGTATCATCTTCAGCACCTCCTTTTTTTTTTTTTTTTTTTTTTCCCTTTTTAAAGTGCTCTAGGAGAGGTGTCAAAGCTGTTCCAGTGATGAGAAGCTGCAGACAGAGCTCAGAATACAAATGAAGACAGAACCTTTCACAGTCACAGGGACAGCGACTAGTCATCGCAGCAGCCAAACATGCAGTTGGTAGGCTCTCTCTCAAAGCCTTCAGATCAAGCCTGGATATTTCCATGGAAGTTATCTCTTATTCAAAACTGTGGGCACTGTAGCTGGATGAAAACAAGTTTTAGTTAACCCCAGGGGTAACTTCACTGGATGAAATTTAATAGTCTACACAAGACGCTACAAGGACATTAACTAATCTAATGGGCCCCTGTAAATTCAAAAGGTATGTATAAGGAGGGTTACTCCATTGCCCTCTGCTATGTTACAGGTTTGGGCAGCTGATGTTCATGTATCCTGGACTGCAGGATGATAATTAGGCATCCAGTATCATATCAGCAAAGAGAAATAATGTTTCTTCTGAACCATTCCTGTGGTATTGGACCAATACTTATTAAAGTCATCTTCATCCAGGTGAATGGAAAAATAGTCCCAGTGGAGTTCAATTTAAAATGATTATATTAGAAGTTGATGCATTTCAATGTTCAGGATGTGTGATCATAAGAAAAGGGAAACAGTTACAGTGAATGAAACCACAAGAACCTCCCCTTGGAAACAAGGTTAAAAACATGTTTTTACCAGAGCTTTAATTTACTTTTCAACTTGCTGAAAGCTGTGGTGTCACTAGTCTCGGCTGAGGTTTTAAGACCACTGCGTTAGTAATCCCAAGAAAATGATGTGGCTTGGTATATTAATTACAATATCTTACTTTGCTCACTTTGCAGGTAAGTGGGGGGGGATGGGGTGGTGGTATGGCGTTCTTTTTATTTTACCCCAGAATTCTCCAAACCCTAACTGATCAAGGAAGGCACTGCTAATTTTTAATCAAGATGAAAGTGTCAGTTGCTCAGTTTTACTCTGTACAGTCTTCAAGCCGTTTTATGGAAGAAAGCAAAAATGAGAAAAAAAAAAAAGTATAAAGGTACTTAAAAAAGTAGATAGAAATTAAAATTTTACTTGACTGACACAAAATTAAAATTATGTCTGCCTGAAAAATAAGAAAAATGTGGGTTCATTTTTGCACGTTAGGCATCTATACTGATATTTTCATAAATAGGGCAACTGGACAACATATTAAGTTTATTTCACGATTTTTATAAAACTGGGTCTTGGAGTACTTTTAAAAGTGTATGTATTCACTTACAACAATAAAAAAAAGAAAAAGCATAAAAGTTATTTGGGTATTTTTTTTAATTGCATAGCCTGATGAAAACGCAAAAGATATTTCAGATATGAGCCATCTGTTTCTCTTCACAAAGTTAACTACTTCTCCTTCATTGAATGAGGGGAGACTGGTTTTCTGAGGATGGTGAAATATGGCTACTAATGTGATGTACTGATTTTTTAAGTTATTTATTTTTCACCCAAATGAAAGGTGTGTCCCAGAAACTCCTCTGGATTATTTCCATTTTAAAACACATTTCATGTTAGCTTTCAGGAATCTCTTTTCAAGTGCATCCCAGTCATTTCTTAGTATATGTGTTCAAAAGACAAAAAGTCTAAAAAGAATGACTATATAAAGAGAGGAAGAACCAGCTGTTTTAAAACATCTTACTAATTTGTTCTTATATGTTTAAAATCATGTCTTGTCTGCTCTTACTAATTACTTCCCATTTTTTATACTCTGTATAAAAAGGCAGATGTAAAATGCAAAAGACAAACTGTTTTATTTGAAAGCAATTCCATAAATACAAGAACATTTGTGATGGAAACCTAGTTTTATATCCTTAGATGGAAAAGAAAAAATTCATTTCACAGATTTTTTAATGTCTCTATCTGAACTCATTACTTTATGTGAGAAATAGGTGCTTTTATAGTTAAAAAAAAAAAACATTTTATCTTCTTAAACCTTTATTGTGGGATGAAATTAATGTTGCCTTTTAAGTTACTATTTCTGTTTATTGACTACAAAGGGAGAGTATGGTTAAGTGTAGGCATTTAAATGTGGATATTTGAAATGTAAATAACTGAGTTTAAAGTAGAATATTCTCATGTGATTTATTAATTAATTAAAATTTCAAAACTCAAATGCAGATAAAGTTCAGTGATGTAAGGTGCTAAAAAGAGTGAGATGTGACCTGAAACAGGTGTCAAGCAGGGGATCATTCTGTTAGTCACAAGAAATTGTAAGAGTTCATCACTACACATTCTGGAAAAGCCCCTTTGAAATATTTGCCACTTGAAGATTGCCTAAGTAAAATACACTTCAGTGACCTCCAGGATCTGTGGCGAGGGAGGAAATGCAGATGTTGCAGCCTGCCAACTTTTACACTGGCTAGCGATTGCCTCTGCGAGGGGGTATGTCTAAATGCGTTATCAGTTTAGCCTTCTGGATCCTATGCAACTAATATCAGATTTGTTTCTTGAGTTGTATTGTCTTGTTCATGGCGCTTTTTTTTAGCCCCCTTTTTTATTTCCTTTTACCTGCTCAAAGCACAGTAATAGATTTTTCTTCAGGCATGCTCCCAGTCACATTGCTCATTGTTGCTTATATATGAGAAATAATTTTCTCTCAAAAATATCCATCATCTAGGGATTCATCATCCTTCTGCATTAACTGTACACAGTTAATTTATGTACACATAGTATCCATATATGGCTTTACTTGAAAAATAAATAAAAAAAAACAAAACTCAAAGACTCTGGGATCTGATGTCAGAAACTACCAAAACTGAAAAATTATGGAAATTGAAGATTGTTTTGAGATTGCATAGAAAATATTCCAAGGAGTGAGCCTGAGTAAACTTGAATAATCCTTGTATTTAGTTTAATACAAGCATAAAATTTCTTTTTTCCTAAAGTATTCATTACTGCTGTGTTTATTTAATTTGAAATTTTTACTCTGTTTAGCCGTAATCACGTTTCCTTCTTTTCCAGTATTTTTGCCCATAACAAAGGGCATGCAAATATTTAAATTATGATGTATTAAGATAATAGGATAAAATTAACAGAGCATTAACATTACTTTTAATGAAGGTAATAATGATCTTTAGTTTCCTTTGGTCTAATCCTATTTTAATATAATTCTGGTGCGCTTTTTTTTTTTTTGTGATATTGATTTCCAGAACAATTGTAACTGCCATTTTTCCCCAGATCTCCTTCAAATTCACAGCACAGAAATAGATTTTTCACATCTCTTTATTAGTTTAATAATGACATAACTATCTCATACTGTAAATTGTGCCTGTGCTCTTGACAATATGCATTTCCTGGTAAAACTTCATTAAGAATTCCATATGCACATATACAGCAATTGTGAAAAGAGCATTTCAGTTTTGTGCGGTGATCAGAATAAAGGCATGTTCAGAGCTTTTTCAGTAAATTATTGCCAAAATGAGTTTTAGTGTCATCCTTCATTTTCATACAAACTTTAAGATGCCCAATGACTATCAAGTCATTAATTGTGCAAATAACGTATCTGACAAACTTTTACGGAGACAATAAAATTTGAGCCAGAAACTATTGTATACATAGGAAAAACAGTATTTAGATGAAGTGCAGACACTTGCAGAGCAACATCTTAAGTTTGTAAAAGTATGTGTGTTTTTTCTAGAACTTTTTACAAGTTGAAAATACTGTCTGAAGTTTCCCAGAGCAAAGCTTTGTTACGAAGACATCCCAAAAGTTTCAGAATAATAGGGACTGTATGCCAACTTAATCCAGTCCATTCCTGTGTTTGCAACTCCTACCTTGTCACCTTCTGGGCTTGCAGTTCTTATACCCTACATGTAACTTATATGATACGTGATTTTTAGGCATAGTTAATGACTGTCTTCGTAACTCTGTCTTGAACGTTGACTGCACCATTTGTTTCTTGGAAGGCAGTAGTAAAACTGTTGTTTGCATCACTATTGTCCACCTTTTGCTATATGTGCTTATAGCTGTGCCTTTCTGTACATTCAGATACTGGCTACACCCATGAATTCAGCTGGCCAAGACAACCTTTCCCAAGAGAGAATACTTCTGTTTACTTGAATGTCCTTTATTTACATCTTACAGCCAGCAGTGGGCCAGAGCTTTCGGTCGTACAATACCCTGAAGATGCCAGCGTGTTCCTTAACTCCACAGTGTGGATGCTGTGTGTATTTGAGTACCCCAGTGAGGGGAACGAGGAGCCAGTTGTGTACTGGAGGAAAGGCCCTGATTGCCACAACCAGCAGAGCCTCCAGGCAAGCCCCAGGGCAGGCAGGCCACAGGTACACATTACAAAGAACACCCTCAGGGGTTTTTCCATCTTAAAACTGAGCAACGTTGACCAGACCGCCAGTAACTCCTATTTCTGCGACGTGACGTTAACGCAGAAAATCCAGGGCAAATGTGGAAACGGCACCAAGCTGACAGTGCATGGTAAGGAGCATTTGGGAGTGACAGAAAGAGATTTGATGTGTACAAGGTGAATTAAATTTTCCTTCAGCCTTACTGCCTTCTCTCCCACTGCTGGAAGAAGGGTGGGAAAAGCAGTCTACAGTCGTATGGGTAGGGGAGGAAAGGCACACCTTTTGTTTGAATGATTTATACAGCTGGGCAG